CTGGATTTTTTAAGACCTTGGGATGTTATTAGGACTGGTTGGCCGTTAGCTATGTTAGCCGGAGGTTGAGGTTGATACACAACTAAAGAAATTTCTTCTATAAATCGATAGAAAATTATTAAATATGTTAGGTAAGGTTGTTTCTCATGTCGACGGTTTTTATCCTGTAGCCAGTCACGTGATTAAGATATGATGTCTTTATCCTAAGCTGTCTATGAGCACATATACTACATACGTCTGCTGTCAGCTGTCATCTGTCATCTGTCAGAGATTCCGCCAATATCTCTAAGACTGGCAGAGACTGATGAGCGAGATTGGCAGAAGGAAAGTAGAATTTAAATTACTATATTTTCAATTGTTTACATTGAAACATTTATTAATAATAATTCAAACATTGTTTATTAAAAAAAATCGTTATTGTTATTATGCTATTTACACCTAGCAATTTTTCATCAATGTCTACGTTCTCATCACAAGGACTTTCCCATTTTACGATACTGTTGAAGAAAACATGTTTTTCATATAGGTGACGCCAAATTTACTCGTTTCGTTTTATTATTGCATTTACGACGTTGAATTACGTGAGCCATTGTCATGCAATCTCACCTTTGAGGTTAGTTTTTTGTCAATTTCACAGCCGTAATCAGTCGTTAGTTAAGAGCGAACGGTCACTTTTAATTTAGTGTAAATTTAAATATATACCCTTAGATTTAATCGCAAGTTTAAAAGGGTCCTGTATTTGCTTTAAATTTCAACGTAATCAAGCATTCAGGACGAGAATTAGCGTGGATTGGATTTAGCAATTTCCAATACGTTATTGATATATTATGAGAGTCATATTTAGTCTCGACTCTGAATCTTAACCAAAATGTTTTAGTGTAATTATTACTAAATTTTATAGAATGTTGCAGATGTACTCGGCAAACTGTATATTGTAGTAACAGTGTTAAATTCTATCTACTTATTGAGGTAACATAGTCAGACTCTCGTCTTTAAAACATCCACGACCTTATTATAACATTTGTAACAATTTTTTTACAGTATTCCTTACCATGGTAATCATTATTTTTACATAAAAGGACCTTAACATCGTAACCATGGCACCAAAAATGGTACTTATTCACAGTATAAGACCAGTAAAGCTCCATAACATAAAGTAGGGGTTTGGGACGCATTTCTATCCGAAACCTCGCAGAGTAGGAAGAGTGACGCGCTCACTAAATCCTCGCGACCTAAAAAGTGCCCATGCATTCAAAAGAATGGACCCGATCTCCCCTAGCTATTACTAAAAGTGAATAGCTCGGTCTGTGAAGGATACTTGCTGTGGCAATTATCTTCATAAACGAACAATTGGCGTGGCGGACGCAAAAACCGCATCGCATGGCGGGAAGCGGATAGTGCTTTGCTGTTATTGTATCTTGCTTAAGGCGATTATTGGTGGCGCCTTGGGGTTTTAGTGGGTATGCACAATTGCGAGTCCCACATAACTCTCCCGCATTAAGAAGTCGCGCCGCGGTAGGGTATGCGCAATGCATTTCCCCAAGTACAAAAGACGCATTTCTGAGTTATGTTTCATTTAAGTAAGAATTTTGTGTCAAACAAACACAATAAGTATTGTTTCGCAGGTAATCGAATATCGAGTTTTATACTTGGGTTAACCTCTAAGCTACGGCGACCCTTTTACACCTTTGTTATTTATTCCGTTTAGATGATTCACTTACAGAGCTCTTAAATCCGCCCTTATAAAGATACTCGTGTGTCCATAAACGTAATACTAAAACTTTAATACGTAATTACGTCCGGCATTAGCTCAGTTACGCGAGTTGTTAACCCAGTTGTTCTATATACCAGTATTGGGTAATTAAATACTGAGTCATTTTTAATAGAGGGAAAGTATTCTTAAATCGTTGAATATATTTGATGATGTGCGATATTAATAAGCTAAGATACTTTTTCATATTGATGCCCCACTCTTGGGAGTGAGAAAGAATTTTTTTTTGCAAAGATATGATTTTTTAGAAAGATATGATTCTGACAATGATGAATATAACAAGTGACCGGTCACTATAAGTATACAGTACATTATATATTAATTGAAATCGACTTTAGAGCGTAAATTTCCTTATGTGTCCGTTTTTTTGCAAAAGAGTTTATAAAGATATGATTTTTCTCTGATTTTAAAATCCATTCGATTAAAAATAACGACAATTAACGAACTAACGAACGATTTTTTTCTTTCTACCTAAGGCAAGAAGAAGCTATTTATAACAATAGGTGTATCATTTAATCCAAAATATCATACACAATAATAAGAGAGAATAGGGATTTATTTCTCCGATACGTCTTGTAAAAGACGATACCTTGGAATCCGGAAATAGCACAAGCTTTGTAAGTAGAGCCTCCGGCATTATCCATTAATCCAAGTTTCACAAACAGTATCGACTTACATCAGATTTTGATATTCTAGTAATAATACTTCTGTTTATTTTTATTGATTAAAGATATTATGGTACGGAGGAAATATATTATGAATGAAGTTACCATCCAATATTTTTCTTTAAGCTTTAATCAAGAAGGTAAGCTTTCTATCATCGCACGCCACTTTTTGGGTCAAAACAGGATTTATCTGTTCCTTCGACATATGAATGAGCAATCTGCATTCATAAAAAAAAAGTGCGTGCGTACAAAGTACACATAACAGAAATGAAACTTTTTGGCAAACTAATCTTTGTCTTGTTCATACTTATACAAATCTAAAACTTTAGATTTCCGATACTTAGAGGGAGGGAAATAGGAGGATATATTAGGAATTTAATTGTCATTAAAATATTAAGTGTCGAAAAATTAATACATTAATTACATAATTAATTTATTTTTTAAATTTATTTCTTCTATAGTTAAAACACGTGGCATTTTAATTTACAATAAATAAATAGTAATTTTTTGGTCATACTGCACAACAAAGTTTGACAACTTGTCCAGTTGTTGTTGATCCAGTTTATTGATTAGTTGCAAGGTTTGTGGTTTGTAAAGTTTACCTACCTCTGATTGTCATTGCACTATGTATACGATTTATTAAATAAATAATCTTTGAACCATTAGATGAAGTTTTTACAGAATTTCATTAATTGTAATAGAATTATTACTATCATTGTTATTATTATTATATATTTTTTGTTATTAATGGCTTCGAATCTCTTCGAATCAACCGTTCGAATCAAGAGGGACAAGAAAAAGATGGCGCGTAACGGAAAAATGTGACGCGTAACCAAAAAATGTGACGGTAAATATTTTTCCAACGCCGATAAAGAAGTTTCACTTCAAAAACCATTATTTTTGTGATATTTAAATAAAACATTTTTAACTAGATAATGCGTTATGATAAAACTTTCAATATATTGAATACCTTTTTTCTATTGTTAGTGACGTTTTTTTTACAAGCCTAGAAAAAAATCTTATCAAAACTTGAAAAGATTTTTATCTTGTAACGCCAAAGAAGTATAACTTCTAACGCATGTACATAAGTACTAACAGGTTTTTTTACCGTTAGGCTAGTCATTTTCATGTCAAACCAATTAAACTACCCCACAAAACAATGTTAGAATAAAAAGGTCTAGAAATAGTAGAAACTAAAATGTATGAAATACCAAGTTCCTTTGACTCTCAGTACTTAAAGGGTACTTGACCTAGCGAGTGGAGTCGCGAGTTGTGGTGTCGTGTGGCTTAAGCTTAGAAGCCCTTTGTTTATGTTAAAGTCTGTACTCAACACGATTTTCATATAAAAATCCAGGCAAAAGAGCATTAAAAGAAACCTTTCTCGAGCAAACGTCACAAGTCAAATGTAAGTTTATTTGCTGAGAGCAGTGGGCAGAGTTGGGTTAGCGGGGGTACAATTTGTACTCACGACCCGAATGGGAATTTCTTCCTTTGTGCCCAAGCAATAAAGAAGGTGAGGAAATCAGAAGGACGCAGTCCTAAAAACGTATCGTAGTGGATAAGGTATTTCGAACCAATTCCGGCAAGGCCGGCAACGCACTTGCGAACCTTCTGACAATGCGAGTGCTCATGGGCGGCGATATTACTTAATATCAGGTGAGAATTCTGCCCGTTTGCCTCCTGTATCATAATAAAAAGGGAAAAAGGGGAAAAAGCGAGGTCTGAGTCCAAGACTTAGAATGTTATATATTTACTATTTATATACTTAGAATAAAAAAATTAAAATAGTAAAAAATATATAACCGATTTAAAAAAAAATTGTATTAAGCTACACTAACGATGAGCTAATTTTGCTATTTCCATCAGGCGAAGGCATCCTCATGAAAATGTCGATAGAGATCATGTTTTTTTTAATTTCATCGTGTTCAAAATGGAAAAATTGTACGGAAACTTTATGCCCTCAGCACGTTACTCGATACCGGATATCTTGTTTACAAAGCGCAGCACTTGGAACAGGACTCTCAAAGGCGTAAATGCCTCGACGTAAATTAATCTTTTATCTAATCATAGTAAGCAAACTTTCGCGAGTTTTAGAACAAATTAAACTTAATGCTTTGTTCAAAATACTATTTTAAGAAAAACTTAAATTTAGTTTTGAGTTTATGCTTTTGACAGAAAACACATTAAGCAAGTTAGATTGTTAGTTGGATGTTTATAATGTTCTGTGATGTGAAATTTATATATTATGTTATAGCACCGAGAGAGCATTATCGTTGGTCATATTAATAGCAAATCTTATTTAAAGATTAGTTTTTAAAACAAAAACTATGTATGACTATTGAACATTTGTTTTCAATATAATTGTAGCTTATATTATACGTTAATAATAGGGTGTATAGGATATCATAACTAGTATAAATAATATTAATAATATCGTTGTAATATTGGACTATAGATATTATTCTTCATGTCTTTTCCGCATTCTGACGGCCTCCTTATGAATGACACAATCAATAGTGAAATAACCTACTTAACCTACAACGAGTTTATGAGATATTTAGTACTCACGTAATGGTAGCAGGAGGGTTGGCGTGTACAAGACAAGGCAGCAACACATCCGCGCCGCGGCGCGCGCTTGCTTCCCATATTCCATGAACTATTGCTCGCGGCGCTGACGGCACACTCAGTGCTGTAATAATAAAATGCGTGGTTTGATTATTTCTCTTTGATAAAATTTTGTTTGCTGCTTTCCTTTCTTAGGATTGAAACGTTTCTTATCGTTCTTCTGATTGTCGAGCTACAATCATAATGATAAAAGTATTTTTAATAAATATAAATAAAAACAGGAAGGGCTCTGGGCCTAATTCAGGGGTTAATTTGGGAGTTGAATCTTTGTAAACATTGTGTGAAACCAACTGAGCCTGCCACTGGTTTTGTTTATTTCTCAATTTTCTTAGCATTGCGAAAGTTTTGTACCTATAAGTAAGGCTACAAGGATTCTTCGTTTAATTTGATATGAAGTGTCATTATTTAAATAAATCTAAGTCAATCATATAACTAGTGAGTGAAATGAATATTAATAAATCATAAACGATCAAATCAATTATCTTAATTATTATTACATTAAGGGAAAATATGCCTGCAGACATTATTTAGCTTTTTATATATATTGTTTAACTTTAAGCATTGTTGGGCTAGTGGCTTCAGCGTGCGACTCTCATCCCTGAGGTCGTAGGTTCGATCCCCAGCTGTGCGCCAATGGACTTTCTTTCTATGTGCGCATTTAACATTTGCTCGAACGGTGAAGGAAAACATCGTGAGGAAGCTGACATGTCTTAGACCCAAAAAGTCGATAGCATGTGTCAAGCACTTGAGGCTGATCACCTTCTTGCCTATTTGATTTAAAAATGATCATGAAACAGAATCAGATCAGAAATCTGAGGCCAAGACCTAGAGATTGTAGCGCCACTAATTTTTTTTTAACTTTAAAGTTTTAATTTGAACTTTCTTTGTACAAAACATTACTGTTTAGTACAATGAAATTTGTGCCATGGAAGAGCATCAAGTCACCAACAACACCCTAGTGTGTGCTGCAACTGTCATTTGTTTTATAAATTATAAAATCATTTTCTACTTACGAGATACATCTATGCTAACCGGTGTACTTCTCCGTCGCTCTCCAGTGAGTGAATCAAGGACAGAACAAGAGTAATGCGCCCTTGAATCATCTGTTCGTACTGAACGTACAACTAGCTTCCAACCTTCGTCCACAACCAGTGTAGGGCCGGCTGAAAGAAATCGATAGTAATATAATAATACTATACGTTATAGTGTATTGTGTATTATTAATTTTTCTTAAACGTGTTTTACGAAGCCTTAAACGTTTTTACTTACCTATAGTTATTATTAGTATCTGTTGTACGAAATAAGAAAATAAAATATTTATCTTTATTCAGTTTGAAGATTGTTATGTAACAAACTGTTAAAAAAATGTTTCAAGAAAATATCAAAGTTGACCTAGCCGGTTAAACATCTCTCGACTCTGCGGTCGTGCCTTCTGCTTTCTTCTTTAATTCTGGTTGCAACATATTTTACTATCTATATGCGCAATCAAAACTCGTTCGGTGAAGAAACAAAAAGGGAGCTGGCATTTCTAAGACCGAAAATCGGAGATGGGTAAAAGGAGCTTAGATACAGATCGAAACTGAGGCTGAAAACGAGACTCAAAACCGGAAATAGATAATATCCTGTCTTCGGAAGGTACTACGGACGGGCTACGGACTGTAGCTACGGATTGCTACGAAGTCCATTAAAGTAGAAATTAACATAAAAATAAATTTGGTTTACTGAGCTGAAAATATCATAAATGAAAATAAGAGAAATTTCGTTTTTGTTAACGCTTACGACTACGATTTTCATATTGTCACACATGTTTGATTAATAACAATCCAATGAACACTATAGTTGTACGGATTATGGATTTGTCAATGCGATAATAACAGTTTTTGGTAGTTTGAATCCGTATGAAACTTGCTGAGGTTCGTTTTTTATTTTAAATACACGCTACGTATTCAAAAATCTCAAGAACTAAGATATGCAATCTTGTTGAAGGCAAAAACTCCGTTCGATACAAAAACATTTGATCTAAGTGGAATTGAATTTTCTAGTTGAGCTGCGCTTAGCAACAAATTAAACCATTCATTTATATACATTTAATTGCAAAAACATTGATTTCGTTCAGTCGTTCATCTCGAGGGAAATTATTTTAATTCACGGAACAAATTTAATAAGCGCACACAATCAATCTGCGGCGCAAACAAATTGCTCGAATTAATAAAAACTTTCACAAAAATATAAAAACAACCGAGTTTATTTCGAAGTTTATTGTGGGTAGTACTTTTTGTTTGTTCTACTGGAAATTTAATTTTGTTCGGTTATTAATAGAACAAATTCAATTCAGTATCGTTTTAATCTTCGTTATAAGTTTTATGCTCCGATGATGAAAAATAAAGCAAAGATATAAAATAAAGTTGTAAAATTCGTCTTTGTTTCTACAAGAAATATTTCTTGGTATTTTCAATGTACTGTTTATTTATTTATGCGAACCAACTACCGTCTAACAAAATCATTATAAATATTTAATTTTAATAACTTCTTTGTGTATATCAAAGATTCCAAGTACTGAATAAAATATAACAAAACACTGTAATTTTACACATATATTAACAACTTTGGAAATACAAAATAGATATTAAATTATTAGAAATTAAATAGACACTACGACTTAATTGATCTTTATGTATTATTAATTAAAATAAATACACAAATTTTGACTAAGGGTTCAATTCTTTTGCCGGAAATACACAAAGGAAACAAATTAAAAGTGTATAATGTTATAATGCTGTTTTATAATGTACTTACTAAGTTGATCTCCAGCAGATACTACGCTTTCATCCCTGTACCAAGCGGCGACGGTGGCATGGTCTCTCAAAGAAACGGGGGCAGCACAAGTCAGTAGTGCTGGTCCACCCACCTCAGCTGGAGTAGATGTCACATGGGCTTGCCACTCTTGCCATACAACTGTAGACAAAATACATTAATGAAGTATAGTTGTATGGGCACTGTGCTTTGGACTGTGATAAAATATAGAGTATGATAATATTATGATAGGAGTGTAACACAGTTGAGTGAGAATGAATTCTTTTCTTATATTACTTTTGTAATAGGTTGAAGGCAGGGAAAAATACAGACACGGACGAAAATTGCCGTGTGGACGTTTTTGATTTATAAATTGTTCAGAAGTCAAAGTCAAAAATCATTTTATCATATATCAATGTACACTTATGAAAGTCAAGAAATTCCTTGTGATATATGAAATTTGTGATGTTTAAAATAACTTTGTGAGGAGTATATTTCTTTAATTATTAATTTAGGGTTTAGTTTTTAATTTTGTTGTGAAGTTATATAAAAGGTTTTTTGAGCTTTGTTAAATGCCCTCAGGTAGGTCAGGTAGGTCATTAGGTGTCCAATTATATGATAGTAAATAACCATTTCTTCAGTCGGTAAGATGAACTAAAAATCCTCCTGGCCTTTATTTATTTAAGTTAATTTTATTATATTTTACAAAAATAACCCATAGCACTTTATAGTTAATTCTAAACTAAACTGCAGACCAAAACTTTTAGTAGTTACTAAACTTGAGACTGAATAAAATTTTATTATTAGTAGGCTATAAAAATACACTGTACGCTAGAATAATGGTGAACTTTATATTTGTTTCAAATTCATTCAGATTTAAGCTTTGAATTATAAATTTTGATAATCATAATAATATGTGGGCCTACACCCAAAAGAGACTTGAATTACATTACAAAAGACAAGTTCAAGTCTTAAGACCATCTTACTATTTTCCGACATTCATAATAAAAGACCCTCACTCGAAGCTCTATCGTATGATATTCCATAAATATTACATGTTCACCAAAACCGTAAACCTCTTAGCTGCGACCTTAGTTCACTTAATATTCCAAACCTTAGTTCTAAATCTTCACAATCTTCCTAAGAAATAATACATGCTTTAGTATGTATTTGCTGAATTCTGTAGAACCTCAACAAATTATATAATACTCACACTCGTAATTGGTATAGATTTATACCTTTATCTACGAAGGTAAGGCAAGTTTTATTACACGTATTTAATCAAAAAATTCGTCTCTTTCAGGCAACCTGCGTTTACGATGTGATGAAAAAAAAAATCGGTTGTCTGTAAAGTCGGTTCACTGACGATAGTTGAACGTGACAACGTAATAAGAAAATACTGATGGAATGATTGCATTTTTCAAACAAAAATTTTAATTTTATTTGTTTGATAGATATTTTGTACGGATATAGAGAAGGAGGAAAATGGAAATCACAATTGAATTGATCGAGTTACATTTATTTGTACGCATAAATTATGTCAATTTTTTAACAAACGAACGCTGCCGAACGCGGAGGCTTTTGCCTCTTTATCGCTCGTTCCGCGCTCTCGCTTGCACTTCAACCTTAAATGGAACGCCTCAGAGCGAGGTAACGCCGCATGCGTCATGTTTTTTCGTGTGTGCAGCCGGCTCCATCGAATTATAAGACGTTGTCACGACAAAAAGACAGTTACAGTAAAATTATGTAATTAGAAAAACTTTAAAGACTTACTTGACACTGATATTTATCTCTAGGTATTTTATGAAATACTTATTCATTTCTGGTACCAATTACTCATGTTAAGTGAAATCTGACATTCAAAACAGATATTATGACTGATTTATTTTTTAACATTATAATATCCTAAAGGTGATATCAGACGGTTCATTTTTTGTTCATTTTCACCTTTCATTCGGTACATTTCACTCGAAATGAAATGTCTGAACAAAAAATGAAACACGAGTGCCGAATGAATTCATTAGTGAACCGATCCAACAGTGTTGGATATTGGCATCCGGTATCTTTCATTCCCACTCCGAATGAACGAGAAATGAACGGTCTGAACACTGAGAGAACGTTCATTCGGATTCGGCCATTTTGTTTCGAGTCCTGTAGCCGACGGACATCACGTTGTCGACGAAGTTATAACTTTTTTTAACTTTTCTTCAAATTTACTTTCATCCATTCGAAGATGATAACAATATGAATCAGGATCTTCAACGGCTAGTTCTCTCAACAATGTATTGGAAGCTCCTAATAAATTTATTCTTTCAATCCATGGTCGCACCCACCACCGTCGACATTTTCTTTGCTTCTTTTTTGTCAACTCTTTGATTAAATGATCACAAATTAAACTAATTCCAAGACGTACGACTTCATTCGATGACATATTTAAAAGAAAGAACAATGAATGTTCATTTCTGTATCATTTCGTCTAAGCCGTGTGAACATAGAATGAAAAAAAATGAAGCATTCACTCGAGTGAACAATCATTCGAGTGAACCGTCTGATATCACCTTTAGAATAATGACGCAACAGTTCATTCTTGATGCTACAAAGTAACTAAGTTTAAAACCTAATAAACATTACAGTTCTAAGTGCATTGGTCTGGAATAGACTTACATGAAAATGCATGCATTCTTTTTCGCGATGCGGGAACGACAATACATACTTTATCAACTAAACGTGTACTGTAATGATTAACGTACCCAAGCCAAAATTATTTTTTGACGTTTAAGTATTTTAAAATGGACATTTCTGTGATAAATAACACCAGTGTATGAAAAAAAAAATGTATTTTTTTTTCATTACAATAATTATCAATTTATCCCGGACAAATTATTAACCAAACAATAATATATGATAAAGCGATCTTTGCCTCACATGGCAACCTATAATTACACAGATTTATTTTAGATAATATTTTGCGAGACGATTATTCACCCTTGCAACACTAAAACGCTTTTCATACAAACGATTTTTTTTCTGTTAATTAGAAGTGCTAGTTCAAAGCTTTAAAAAACTAACTACAGTTTTTTAATCAGCGGAGAATCTCGAGTTGTGGTTGAAGTTTTACTTAGAAATTTAAAATTAAATATTGCATGGTCCATAGAGAAATATCCTTTAGATTAAAAAAATGTTAAACTAAACTGTAGTGGATATGTTCAAGGTAAGTATAAAACAGAATAAATATAGCGGTATTTTATCAATAATTTGACTTCCAAGAGTAGTCTAATTATCATACCTCTTGAATATGAATAAACTAATGTACACTTAATACATTTAATTATCTTAATAGAAGACCAATCCATGCATTTTCTTTTTAGATAACGGAGGTGGAATTTCATTGCGCATCTCCTGCCCTAGAAAGTAACACGGGCATGAGGGATTTTAAAAGTCTCTGCTATTCAGAGACTGACTGAGCATAACCCACTAAAACCACTTCGGGTAGTTCACAATGCCGCGTTAGAGAGGCTCCACTCGCTCTCGTAATCTACCTGGACATCAACGGCATAACTATTACGCTTAAAACCTCAGATTCTTAAACTAGATAGGAGGTAGCAGATGGGCATATCTTCTCCTCGTCTCTGCTCGTCTTCTGATCCTAGGATTCTTCCTAGTGCACTCTTTCCTTCTGCAGCATTACTTGCTCACAGAAGAATACAATACGGTATTGCTGACCCTTTTATGGATAACATAAAACAGAGCAAGGTTCAGGATTAGGCAGTTGCCCACAGTTCCAAAATTTTCACATATAAGAAATTCAGTAAATTGCTTCTTAGTTTTAAACGATTTTATTAGATTATATAAAGTATTTATTAAAAGAATGAACATAAACATCATATACACCTTGTCCAGCCATAAGTTCTGTTACAAATGAAAATGCATTTTTTTAATGAAGTAATGTAATATTAATTATTATTATTAATCGGAGCGTACTTCTTCGACGTTTGCAATGTAGAACGACCGGAAGAAAAACTAGGAGAGGCCTATGTGTCACAGGGCACGCTGATTACCAAAAACGGGTCAGATGATTAAGTTAGGTTATGTAACTTACATAAGTGTTTATATATTATACTGGGTGTCAGCAATTAATGCTTAGTAATAATAATAAAAATAATGTAATATTATTAAAATTTACACATACATATTTATTAAAGTCTCAGCAAAACATCAAAAGCTATTCTATTCGAAATGGCCACCTTTGGCTTATATATAATAGTTATATTAATTCAATTTAGTGCTGTAATATGAAATAATTTAGTTACGCGACTGAAACATCTCAATTAAAGTTATTTCTTGGCGAACGAGCATCTCGTTAAAGATCCCTTTGAAGTATCAATATAATCAAGTCCTGATAAAGTATACGCAGTTCGGATAGCGGCCAAGTTTCTTAAGAGTCGGGATTCAATGCGAGCTCGTTAAGAATGATAAAACATACAACCTTAAATTTCGTGCGTGATTACGAATACCAAAGTACATTGATTTAAAAATACTTTCGTGCCTTGTATAGAAGTTTCCCATCTTTAGCTTTACAATGCGTATTCTATATTGAACAAAATCTACAAATCTTATGATGGCCTAACGATGGCCAGATTTATGATCAATTCATTTTAATGATAATTTTACAATTTAAATACACTGCGCGAACCGGAACCGCACGTTATTAAATGGCGTAAATTTTCACGTTCAAAATTAATTCAAAGTAAAGTTTTGAATTACCGAAGTGACCTTACCTCGGGTTCTGTTTAAATTTCAAGCCTAACGATTCAATTAAATCTACCTCGTTTAAGCGTTATGAATTTTCACAACTTTTCCTTATACGTTTATTTATATAAAACGTACTCCGACACTTCCTACAACTTTTCAGTCTCTTGATAATATTTTTAAATATTAGAGGTACGATAAGGAATATTGTACTGCACTACCACAATCTTTGAAAAGCATATGTACTCTTATGCCAACGTAAAATCCGTCTGTTTCGTATACGTGTAACAAACGTGTGGCGCACGGGGACTGCCGCGGTAAAGCTATTGCATAGCATTTTTTATCAACTTATGCAGTTATTTTTTTTTTTATATTAATTCAAGTTTTTTCTTTGATATTATTTCAATCTACCACTCTACCAGACTAAGACTAAAACGCCTATATAGTCTGTCTCACTCTATCGCGTACCGGCTGCACCGGCCGCGCTGACGCAACGTTAACGATCTCGTCAGAGATGGGAATGCTCAGTATGCGTTCTGTCCCACTCTAACGCGTATTTGCCGCACCTATATTACGTCATCGTGTGTTAGGTTTTTTTCGTTACGGAATTTCTTGATTCGGTCGCCGCGCTCAAATACCGCGATAAAATCTATGCATTAGCTTAAAATGATTTGCTCGTAATTACTAAATCGTTTTTCAAATACTTCACGAATAATATAGCGTTAAATAGTCTGTAGGGATAGAGAGTGTACATATCGTTCATGCAATAAAAGACTGATAAAGGAAATGGAAGTGACAAATTATAATGAAAATTACGCGTGAAACAACTTTCAAGAAAATTATCCAAAATATTATATTCCAAAAAATATATCATAAATGTAGAAACAGAATGCATTTATAATAACCTCAAATTATTTAATTTGATTCACTTATATTAAATAAAACCTGTAGCGTTTATACAGAAAAAATAGTTATAACAGCTTATATTATGTTTCTCAGCGAAGTGAGCGGTCCGCGTTTTTTCATCCAGAACGGTTTAATTGGGAGCAAGAGAAACTTCAAATGTTCCACCATTACTGCGACCTGTTTTAGTATCGTATTATTTCTAGGGTAAAATCCTATTAAAATCTATCTTTATAAAACAATTTGATGGTCATAATTTAACAGATAGTATAAAATCAGAACATCAGTTGAAAATTAGTCATGTGTCGCCAGGAATCAAGGTAGGTTTATTTACAAACTTACATTATATGTCCAAATTCCATTTTAGTCGTAAATTCAGGATTTTGTTATATTTTTAGTGATTAAATAAACCTTCTTTAACGCAAATTTACTATATAATTAGGCATATGAGATATCGAGCGTTTCATCAGAGACTGTCATAGGAAGTTGACAAAAAAAACGACGGGTTGCACTCCGGGAGTGCCGGCAGAAGTGAAAACTTGAATATTAACGTTGTGCATTTTTGATATTTTGGAATGGTTAGGGAAAATTTTTGCACGAATTGCTTTAGTTATCACTTATCAGTATAAAAGTACTATCATTTATGTGGTAGAATACAATATTTATTTATTGCGCTATCGTACACAAACATGACAATTTATATTACATTAATACGCCGCGCCAGCTGTCTACTCTCCATCCATCTTACGAAACCTACACAAAATAATTAAAATTAGTATTAAATAATTCAATTAGGAAAATTCACTATTTTTCAAGTTGCCATTTTTTATTCGCGTCAGTCTGACGTATTGAAATGTTACTACTATGATGACAGCATTAGATATAATGCCACAAAGTTGGCATCGATTTGCTCTTAATACTTTATACTTATTATCTCCTCGTGTTTTTCTAGTTAACATAGCAACTATGTATGACATTAAATTAGTTTAAAAGGTTTATTCAAAGGTTTAATTATAATGAAAATATATGTTGATAAGAAAATACGAAAAGTCCCAAAGGAAAAGAAATTAATGGAACATCGATTTAATCTCAGAAAAACATAGTGTGAGTGACCAGCTCAGCGTGACCCTTACGAGGTCAAAGGTTAAACACGTAACTGAATCTCAAAGGATTATAAGTTGTGACGAAAAACTTGTATGTTGAAAATTTGTTCGGAAATTGGGACTTGGTACAAATCTTCATACAATTTTACGAAAATGATTTATGAATGAATTTTACTTCACCTACTACTAAAGCAACTGAGAGTTAATTGATCTCATTGTATATCAGGTCTAAATGTTATTACAAAATCAAACTTTTTTAATGGCAACACAACAGTATATAAAATTGCTAGTTTTAAGATTATAAAATGGGAAATCTATTGTAGCGGGATTATTGTAATGTCTCTCATATCTCATGTGCTCAAAATAAAAATATCAAACAGTTTATGCACACCAAAATACAGTTCAACACAACAAGTCCTGAAAAACAATATAACGATTATTTTCTTGTTTGACAATAAAAATATTATGATGTACAATAATAGAATGTAGTGCATTTAATATTATTTGACACTATTGTTAATGAAGGTTTCATAATTATGTATTTGTTTTTTTTATATATATTTAATAAAAAGTTATTTAGTCTAAACACATTTTTTATCAAAAGTACTCTAGTTTTTTTCTATCAAATTTTGTTTGCGCTGTAATGAAAACACACCAGTTCTTGTATTTAAAATTAATAAGACGCACTTTTTACAGCATAAATAAATAATTTGATGGGTTCTAATATGTTTTTAATATTAACTTACCACAGTCAATAATATATACACAAAGGTTATGTGAACGTTTCTTGTAGATTGTATAAAGGAAAAAAAAATTCAAACTTTATTTATTGCCAACTATCTAACAGTTATTACGACCAATGATTGTAATAGAAAGCGTAGAAGCTTCTAATAAAATATATTTTAACATCAGCAGTTACCCGTTG